TATATTTATATTTATATTTATTTATTCATTTTTATAATATAAATATTTTCCGTTCCGGTTCTATGTCTTCTTAATAAATATTTTTTCTTTTTTTAAAAAAATTACAATTCATTTTGCTCTTTTTTTCTTTCTTCCTTTTCGTTCGTTTTAATTATTATTATTATTATTATTATTATTATTATTATTATTATTATTATTTCTCTCTTCACGTGCGTGGCCGTGGAGAGGCGTACGGGTCCCGCGGCACAGAAGTCATTCCGCTCAGCACGACGTGTTCATAACCCGCGCAGCCGTTACTTGAGAAGACAAGAGCCGACTGCCGCGTGGGGTGAAACTCCGCTGGGCGCATAGTGGCATTGCAGAGTGGCTGCACCTTTTTATTATTATTATTACTACTACTACTACTATCTTTATTACTATCATTATTACTATTATTATTACTAGTAGAAGTTTCAACATCAGGGTTTGCGGTGGGATTTGCCATGGACTCCTTTGCAGACGCTGCGCCCATTTCAATGCGTTGTACAACCTTCTTTAAAGAAGAAGTAATCATAGCAGAGATGAGATGTGGGTGTTGATCTAAACCGGCGGGAATACCAAAATCACTTCCAGTCTTTTGCAGGTGTTCCGCTGTGGCCTCATGGTCATTAGGTGAAACCTCACGCAGCATAAGAAGATGTAATACGCATAACTTTGCACAAATTAAACGTCGGAGTTGTAATAACTGAAGGGCTGTTGTACTATCACAGTTAATATAAACACAACTCCCACTTTGGGATACCTCAAAGGTAACAATATCAGTATTTTCCTTAATCTCCTCATAGGTGAGACGACTACAGAATAGAAGCAGCATTACATTAAAGACTTCAGGTCGAAGTTGAGAGGAGAATGAACCCACAAGTCTTCCATATATAGTTTGTAGGGTAAACGGAATACAAACTGTATCCTGACTCCATGGACATGTTGTTGGTACCGACTTATCTCTACAGCAATTAATGTTTACAAACACTCCACTTCCTGCGTACCGTTTTTTCTCGGCCTGTTGAGCATCATAGAGAACATAAATAGCATGATGCATATGAGCTGCAGAGCACATGAGAGAAAGAGTTATTGTGTGTTCATTATATTGCTCCAGCAGTTCATCCACATCTGTTACATCTTCAAAAGGAACAATAGCGGCAAGTTGATCTTTGGTTTGTCGCACTACAAGTAAAATATCTGTAATCCGACTTCGGCTTAAGTAACGCTCTTGACACCAGGCATTTTGTCCCTCTTCAGATAATCCTTCACGCTGCATGGCCATATACGCAATAACAGCCCCAACAGCTGAGACGGCATCATTATAGTATTCCCCTTTAAACTCACGCATCACTTCTTCCACCTGAAGAAGTTGTTGTAAACGTTCTTTTCGGTCCATTGGATTATAAGGAACATAGAAGGGTGTATTGCAGGATACACACGCTGCTGCTATAATACCAAGTGTTGTTAATCCCATTACGAGTCCATGAAAGACAATTGTACCAGATTCCACATCAAATGGAAGTCCACCAACAATTAAACCTCGTAAGGTTACATTAAAGCGAAGATAGGCAAGTGGGTAATCTGAAGGATTTTTACCATTTGATTTATTTTCATGTGCGCTAAGAATAAGTGCATTCCATGCCTCTTTTACACGAAGGTGTATAGAGTTATCAATACCTTCAATCAATGCGTTGGTGTCGGCTTCTGGTACAATGTAACCACCATCACATAATGTTGATAAACTCAGTCGTACACTTACTTTTCGTGGCTCCTCACGACAGAGAGAAAACATTAAAAATGGTGATGGTGTTAAATGAAGTGAGTGAAGTACAATTTCATGTAATACAGCATTTCCTAATCGGGATTCATTCGGTAACAATTCCTGAGTTTGTTTGCGTGAAAGCATAGTGAAGAAAAATCCTTGTTGTACACGCCCAATACGACCACGACGCTGCATTAAATTTACAGAACTTTCCCAAACAAGTTCAAGTGGTGGAAATGCTACAGAATTAGGGTTTGATTCAATAATATGTGGTCTTTTAGCAGTACCAGAGTCTATAACGAAGACTACATCTGGTAAAGTAAGAGAAACTTCTGCAATATCGGTAGCCACATATACCTTCTTCTTAGTCACAGACTCCCGTTGGAGAGCTTCTTGAATAAAGGCGAGTTCAATATCACGGTACCATGGAATAGGATCTAATTGATCCCCTAAATTATCACGAATCCATGTTGATAACTGTTCTACAACTGTTCGACCAGGAACAAAGACAAGAATACTATGCTGCGGTACTGCTGTTGCTGCCAAAAGCTTTAGCATTTCTTTTATATACATAATAATAGCATGAAGTTGAGTTGATTGTACAACACCAGAGGGACTCATAATTGGTTCGACAAAGGACATACCTACAAGTTTACATACATCCTCTAAATAATATTCATGAATAGGATACATAGCATTTGCCTTGGAGTACTCGGCAACAGTTAAGTCATCAAAGAAACATGCCCATTTAGAAACCTCCGCTGTGGCACTGCATAACACCAGTTTTAGTTTTCCAGGATAACGCTGCATTACTAGTTTCATCATAAGTAGTAGAACTTCCACCTCCGTGGTACGCTCATGGAATTCATCAAATATAACATGTGTAAGGCCAATATCATCTGGAGCATTATGTAATAAATGGAGAAAGAGAGTGTAGTTCGTCACATACATAATAGGGGTATCACCCACTGCCCCAACATGTTCGCCCCGCACCCAATACCCCACACGTTCTCCTACCTTTTCACCATACAACTCTGCTACACGCTGCGCCAATTTGATGGCTGGTGTGCGGCGGGGTTGGGCATTTGCAATCCGCGCTGTGGGCTGTTCATCAAGAATGGCTTTTGGGATGAGAGTACTCTTGCCAGTGCCGGTATCCGTAACGACAATAGTAACATCGTGGGTGGCAATCATATGGCTGCAGCGCGGTACGTCGAGTGTACCAACAACACCAACAGAGGTGGCTGCTTGGGCGCGTAGATGTTCCGTACGGGCATCGTCATCAGCCTGTCGTGCGTATTTATCTTTGAACCCCTGAAGTGCCTCTTCATCGCGTTTAGAATTACCACCATTCTCAACGTCCGCACTAGTAGGAACGCTATTACTCGAATTGTTGGGGGTGATGGAGGATCGGTTGATATGATTATGCTGCCGTGATCCTCGACCAGTTCGCTGATCTTGAGGTCGCCGTTGCCCACCCTGATGCGGAGGCCGTTGTGTATTTGACTGCTGTCGCTGTTGCTGACCTAAACGTGACATACCTTCCTGATGATGCTGACGTTGTTGTTGCTGTTGTTGGGCCAGCTGCTGCAGTACATCCCGCTCATTAACCTGAACTAAGTGGGGTCCTCCCTGACGCTGCTGTTGCTGTTGTTGTTGTTGTTGTTGTTGTTGTTGTTGGGCCAGCTGCTGCAATACCTCTCGCTCATTAACCTGAACTAAGTGGGGTCCTCCCTGACGCTGCTGTTGCTGTTGTAGTTGTTGCTGTTGTTGGGCCAACTGCTGCAGTACATCCCGCTCATTTCCCTGTTGAACTAAGTGGGGTCCTCCCTGACGTTGTTGTTGCTGTTGTTGGGCCAGCTGCTGCAGTACATCCCG